AGAGTGGTAACTATCTGTTGAAAGGACTTTGTAGCTGGCTTCTCCGGTGCAAGAAGATCCCTCAGCAGAGTGTAGGTTTTCCCGCCGATCAAGCTCAACAAAGTTGGCACTTTATGGTCATCATCAATGTCGTTCGCCAAGAAAAACTGTTCGACTCGTTCCACATAGGTTTCCCAGTTCTCTTTTGTGTCATCAAAACTCTCTATCTTCCCAATAGTGGTCATAATTACTTGAATTTTACCTCGTCGCCACTGTCATGTCTTTGATTCGAACGGACTACGTTCCGGAATGGCGCATAAGTGCGCATGCTCAAAGTGTATTGACCGCTGGCCAAAAACACCACAAAACGGATAGGATTTTCCGTGGGGGGAAGGGGGTGCACCATAGGGACATATTTCTAGAGGGTTCTCGTGATGCGTAAGAGAGTAACAAAGAAAAAACCCCAAAAATTTACCACGACAACTTATTTGCAAGATATAAAACACAACGAAAGTTAAAGAGTTACTAAACATAAGGATTAATGAACATAGCAAAGATATTTTGTCTGTCTTTTGGCATGACATCTCATGCAAAAACGTTCCTTACGGTTTGCCATTTTCGAATGGATAGATGTTCGAATGGATTTGGTATCTGTTTGAAAGGCTTGGGCAATCCCTTCAAAAAAAAATTGTCATCAAATATGCAAATTTGGTAGAACAAAATTCGATACCCGCACTGTCTTATAACGTGACGAGGTCCTGATCTCTTTGTTTATGCTTCTCCAAGTGTTGCTTTCGTCTTGATGCAGTGAGAGAAAAGTATAGTTATACTTCCCATGCAACCTTGCATTTCATTTGCGTGTGGCTAAGAACTTGTTCAACATACATTGTAACTTGAGCGCATGACAAATTCGCTTATCTGTTATAGAATTTAACAGAAAATACATGAAACTCGCAAAATGTGGCACCCTAGTGAAGAAAACTACTAATTTGTTCACTTCAATGAGAGATAGCAATAATCCCAGGGGGTGTGCGAAAATTTTGGAAATCTGGAAGGGAGGCGGGTAAATTTTGGGGGCCAATTTTGGAAATTCCAGAGGGGAGGGGGGTCATACAGCAAATCCCTCCTGTGGGGGTGGTATGGATATTTTCTGGAACCACACAATGTGAAAGTATATGTACTGCTGAAGAGGTTTCATTTGAATGGTTATAACATACAGTACATGTAGGATTTCATCCTCCGACTTAAAAGTTAGAACTATAGTCATAAATCCATCATTCCTTCTGGAAGTGAAAATATCTTAAGGCAATCATCAAGAAAATTGTCATTTCTCTCCTTTAAACATACCAGTCTTCTAGCTCTTACAGATGCACAATGTAAAGGCAAATTTTTGTTTACATTTTTTGCTTCATTAGCTTACATGTATGCCTTTCATTCTCTGATCAGGCTATTAAAATTAACTCTCCGAATATCGAAAGACTGCAACAATTTTATTTATCTATGAAATTTTGAGCCCGATATGCCAAATAGTTTCAGAGAAATTACCTTTAAAAGAGTTGAAACTTTACAAAGAATGTCTGGGCTCATTAACGTTTTCCACCCAGCAATTTTGCAGTTTTCCATGGCTGCTATTTCCTTTGTTGTTGTTTGCAAAGAGCTGAAAGTTGTGCAAATTGCCCAAATTAACCAACTCTTTCAACCTTTTAATTTAATTTGTGCATACAGCAAAGCTGTCTATGGGTTAACTCGTATGATAGTGAGCAAAAATGTAAACAATGATGTTAGAAAAGATTCACCTATAAAATGAGTATTAAAGCATTACTTTAGATAATGTCGTCAATTAATGCCATAATTATGTGGAGTGATTTGCTTTAAATTCTCTTCTCTGTTCCATGAGGGTTTTTCCTGGGTGCTTCACTTCAGTTTTCCCTTCTCCTCAAAAATTCAATTTAGTCCGGAATTTGTCTTTATATGGTTAGTTGGGATACTTAGAGGGCCATTGGTACATGTAAATATGGTAGAAACTCCTTTTTCAAGTTGTATGAAATTTTTAGTCTCTCCCTTTTTAATAAAAAAAACTACCATTCCCTCCATTACCACAAAACTACCATTGAATACCCACATGTAGGATGATTTTCTCTCTTATATTTAATTCACCATTCATGTTCTGTTCATGCTTGTAGCACGTACAAGACGTCTTAACACTGATCTTTTAAGGAGAAACACATTTCAAAAGAACCAAGTGACAAGAACTCCCACTCTTCAGGGATCTGTAGCACCAAGTAGTGCAACTGAAAAGTTACCTTTACCAAGACTCCCCAAAGTTGTATCATCAAACAATCAGTCATCATCTAATGGTCGTACTAGAAATCTTCTGTGTTCCAATTCTACAACTGGAACAAGTAGTAGGGTTCAATCTGCTCTCAATAAGGACTCAAATGTACGGCAGACTTCAATCAGTTATCAGCCTGTTGGGGTTTCTGTGGCAGATGTGGCTCCTGTTATAGAAATCCCAACTACTGGGGGACCTGTAACAGAAAATGAAGGACAAATCACAGGTAGCCCAGGTAGAGATACTGGTGTTGGACACAGTCACACCACCAATGAGAAGTCTAATAATGTAGATGCAGTGGAAAGCATGGTTGATATTCCAATGGATGATGGGGATTTTGGTGATGCAGGCTATTCTAGCCCTGAGAGAACTCCTGTTATAGTAATCAATGATGAAAGTAGCAACGATCAAGAAGTGTCAGCTGAGAAAGAACATGGTTTGTCTCATTCTAATTCCCGTGAAAATGAGATACACCTGCAATCACCAAAACGGAAAGGGTAAGACAGTAGGAATAAATTCTTGTACTTCTGTAATGATGTGTGGTTTTCTGCTGGCTGAGGAGCAAATGAAGTAGAAATGTCTTTTTCACTCATGGCTCGGAGTATGGGTTCAAGTGTACATACAGTTGTTTTTAATGCCATCTGCCGTTGCCTGACCTGCCCTACCTATCCACTGTTCGCGTGTTTTTTTTTTCTTGTTTTAGCGTTAATATTAGTGAGCTGAACCACCATTTTTGGCATGGCTGACTTGACAAAAATGGTGAAATTTGAGATACTTGTACTACTAAATAATAGGGAGAAGTCCTTAATGTCAAGTTGCCATGGTAGCAAAATTTCTGGATGACAACAAACCAAAAAATGTCACTTAAAAAGTGACTTTCCACTGTTTCAGGCTTATCGATCTTATTCAGGTTCAATTAATTTGTCAAATGTTGGCTAAATTTGCTGGGTTTAAGTCCAGAAGGACTGTATTTAAGTTTAGAAAAAGAAAAAAGATTGTGTTGTGTTCACCTACTTTATAAGGTGGGCGCATGAAATAAGGAAGTTTCACGTCATAGTGGTGCAATGACGGCTAAGAAATGGACAAAAAAGCATGTTGCAAAGTTGATGTTTTGCTATCTAAACTTATCGCTTTTGTCCTTCTCATTGCTGTCGCCGTTGTTGTTGCTTACATCCCTATTGTTGTGATCCAAAATTTTGCTACCGGGTAATGTGATGTCACACTTTTCCTCTCTATTACCAGACTGTTGTTGTACAAAATCTTTGTGATTATGTTTGCAGAGTTCATCCCCGCAGGAGAGTCCCTCAAGGAGACACTAGGTGAGATGATGAAACAAAAATGGTTATACCATTATGACCGAAAAAAACCCTAAACATGCAGGCCTGAATTTTACAAATTATTTACCAAGATTTCTTAGCATTAGGCAAAGGCCTTTACTGTGTACCTTTTAGTTTTATCGCGAATTATATTCAAATCTTTGCTATTTTTATAGTTGCGGGCAACAAGAGGAGGCCATTATCCTAATCTCCAGGTTGTTATTGCACATGTGTCACATGTATGTAGCCAGCATTAGTTTGGACTTCCACTACGAATGAATGGAGTGCACTGAACGCAATTTAATCACACGTGTTTTGACCTTTTATGACGTGAAACTTGCACAGAGTACAGCATTGGAGCAAAAGCATTTTGGCCTTCAACCATTGTCACCCGCACTCCATAACCTTTGGCTATTACTAGTATATTAATGTCTTCTTAGACACAAAAAACCTACAAAGTTAATGTCATTTTTAATATTATTTCTTGGTTGAATAGAGAGTATAAAAAGTAATATGTATTTTTTCATGATGCTTATAACTTTAAGGATACCACTTGATATAAACAATACATTTATTTCAATTTGTTGTGATATTTTAAATTTTGACGCTGATTATTTTCTCTTCCAGCCAATCAGAGGTGGCTGTCTCGACTGCCAAGCAAATTCCAAAGTCTACCAATCTGGAAGTTGAAATGGACGTTATGTATGCATCAGATACACTAACTCCAGTAAGAACACTTTTACAGCTGATCATTCCTTAAAATAATACAGTAACATAATGGAGAAGATTAATAAAATGATATACAAATAGATTTGCTAATGTGTGTATTAATCCGGTTGATCTACTTGATATTGATTTACAAAAAATGTCATTATAACAATTAATAAGAAAAAAGATGACCAAACAGATGCATGGTCAGATGATAAACAATAATTATTATTGGAAAGGTTTTTTGCACAATATCCTAAATAATCAAGGTTGAGGTAATCAAGGTTTTTAGTGGTAATTTGTTTATTAAATTGAGCAAATTGAGTCATGTGTCAGATTAAAATATTCTTGCTTTTGCATTAATATTACAGCAATCTTTTCTGGGCACATTACTTAACACTCCAATATTGCAAGAAAAACTGGCAGAAAATATCAACAAAGTGGTTGGAAGGTGAGAATTCTTATGTATATTAAAATCAAACCAGACAATTTTAACCCTTAAACACTTGAAATCAAAATCTAAATTCTCCTCTCCTTTTCCAATATGGTTCTTAGAAATCGAAAACAATTGTAATAGAATTTATTCATTTTGGCTGATCATCTTTTGAACTCTCCTCGTTTCTGTGATTAATTAAGCGTGGATGTAACAAGTAGAATGTGTATGTTGATTACTCTCATAGATTAAAACAGTTACTGTAATCCTTGTCAATCCTAATATCAGTGAGTGATATGGTTCAATTTTATTCTTGGTTTACATATAATTATTTATACCTTTTCTGCTTTGAAGACCTACAGTGTGGTGACAGAAAAAGAACCTAGTCACAAAGATTGTACATGTATAGCATAGTCCGGGGGAATGTGGATGGCTTGTGTCAAGTCAAAATGAAAGTTTTTGTTGATGTTTAACATAGTGAAGCTCACTTTTCTGACCAGATCTCAGTTGCTTACATCAAAATTTGCCAAATCCTGCATCATAAAATTATCAAAATAGTTCAGCAATGTCCCTTTCAGTAATTAAAGTCACAATTTTCAGCTCCCATCTCGCTCTGGAATTCTGATCTTGAAATGAGACATATTGTGGATTTCAAACTAATCTCTTCTGGACCCTTTACAATAATTACATATGTTATCTTTTCATTTTCGTACTCAAATTTGTTGACTAGGCACTTCTCTCTCTTTGATATTCTATCACCTTGCCTCAAGATTATATCCAAAATGGGATTTTCTTGCAGTTCAAGGACTCAGCCTGCTTCTGATGACCCTCCAACTGACTCAGCACAGACTGTGACGATAACTGAGGACAGCAGTGATGATATATTAATGGCATCTAATCCGGTATAAAACCAAAAAAAAGCTTTTGCATGGTAATTTTTAGAAGTCAGTCAGGTATATTATTGTACAACTGTCAAGATATCATTGTTTCAGAATTACGTTTAGCTATATATAACCTTCCAGGACCAAACACTTCATTGTGTATTGTACTGAAGCTTTCAAAACCATTGTGTAGCATCTTTTGTTACTTTCACTTTTGTAACTTGACCTAAAAAGATATGTGCTCAACAAATTAACCTTTTTTGTGGAGTCGACGATAATTTTATCTATTGGTACGATTTGACAACTTTTCGAAGTGGACCATTGGGTGAACTAATGAGACGAATTTGTTCACTGGTATTGTGTCATAAGGAAATGTATAAAGATCAGTATGGAGAGTTTCTATCTGGATTTTTGGGCTTAGGATGACTTGCCTGGATCCTTGGCAAGTTACTTGTCCCAGACCACCAGGTGAGACTTTTTTGAGCCCTGCCCTTGTGAGAAAGATAATGCAAGTGTTTTCTTGTTTGTTTTCAGGAAGCTGGTGGTGATATTCCTGTTAAAGAAATCATGGATCTCATGCAAGCTGACCCAGCGTTTGATGTACTTTTCTCTTTGTTTGGAATTGGTAGGTTTGACTTATGATTTGGGAACTCACAAAGTGACCAACTCCCAGTGTGTTACGAACCTTATACTGATTTAAAAATATCATCTTATGGCAGACGCATTAGATGCCTTGCCTTCTACAACAGACCCAAGCACCCTGTTGGCAGAAACAAGTCAGGCTGGCAAGGTTCCTGTCTCTGAATCCCAATTTCCAGGTATTCCTAGGATTTTAACTGCTATTTAACCTTTTAAACCCTAAAATTTAAATTAATTTTTATGCTCTCATTTCTTTTCGTATGAATTTTCTATACAGTTAATGTGGAAAAGTTGTTTAAGTATCAAATTCAATAATGAGATTCATCGTGTGATAATGTCCGTAATTTTCATGACCACTTTGTCTTAAAAGCATTCATAATACAAGGAGAAATAGGCCATTTCTGAGTCCCCCGCGCTTCTGCTTCAAAATGAGGGTAGGTGCTCAGCCTTTGATATGGAAATCATTTTTCATTCTCATGCAAATAAAACTCATTTTCACAAGAAAGGTTGTGCACCTAGCCTCATTTTGAAAGTGAGAGTTTTTGAAACTCGGAAGTGGCCTATCAGATTCTCATCACTCCTAGGGCTTGAAGAGTTAACTTGAATTTGAGCTTTTTAAAATAAATTTAATTTATCGTAGAATTATATTATCTTCTCTATCATACTATTGTGGGAGTCCAACAGTTAAAAATTACCCACAATACATTGTGCGATTCCAGGAAATTTGCGCCCCCCCCCCCCCCCCCACCCCCCCCC